AACGAGCTGTGGGAGCGACGGCGCCAAGGCGACGTACCTGAGCAAGGGGCAGCGCGGCAAGCTGAAGAAGTTCCAGAGCCAACTGTGGCTTTCCGCCTTCTACACCGCGTCGACCGTCTTTGGCTACATCGTGCAGCGGGACAAGCCGTGGTTCGGCCTCCCGCTCAGCGCGGCCAACTGCTTTAGCTTCGTGCCGCAACCGGACGTCCCGGATCCGGAGCTGCTGCACTACTACCGCTACGGCCTCGGTTTCTACCTGTCGGAGAGCGTCGCACTGCTGATGGAGCAAGACATGAAGCGCTCTGACTTCTTGGAGTACGTGATTCACCACATTGTAACGATCGCCCTGATAGTTAATTCNTCCTGTTTATCCATGACGCCAGCGACATCATGCTGGCGGTGAGCAAGTCCATAAACTACGTTGTGAGTGCAGACACGAAACGCCAGCAGAAGGCTGTGCGCCTGAAGGGGAAGGGTGCGGGGACCACAGCGGCGGCGCCATGCCTCCTCTACAGACTCGTCTTTAACGATGCAGTAGTGACTGGGTGTTTTGTTGCCTTTGTGGTGCTGTTCGCGTTCTTCCGGCTTGTTTGTTTGCCTTTCCTGGCGAGGGCAACCCTTTTACTTGGACCAAAATATCGCACGTTTACGCTGAGCCACTGGATAATGGTGCTTTTTCTTCATGTTGTCTTGCAGGGACTGCATGTTTACTGGTTTGCGCTCATCGTGAAGCTGGCGATACATATTTTCACTGGAGGTCCATGTGCTGACATCCGCTCCGATAATGACACGGAGGAGGATGACGATATATATAGCAGCGCAGGAAATGCTGTGACATTAAAAAATGTGAATGAGGCAGGATGAGTCTCATATTATGTTGGACCGGTTGGGATTCCTTTCCTAGGCACACAGAAAAATGATTGCTGTCATTTTCCTAGTGTGATCCGCACGTTGGTGTATATGCGTAGGTTTTTTTTGTTGGTTTGCTTCAATATGGCACCTTAACGTAGTTTTGTTGTGACTTTCTGTTGTTGTTTTTGTGTTTTGTGTGTCGTCCGTGTTTATATGTTAATATATGGTGTGCGTTTTGTGCTACGCTTTTGTGGTCCCAGATCTACACGCCAGCTGATAGATGCGGTTGGGAAGAATGACAATATTGAAGGTGAATTACGGCTTCTTTTTGTTTGTAGGCGGCGGTATGACACTTTTGCCGCACAACATGAAGATGGGTCACGCTCAGTTGAGGTGGTTCCAGTAATCCTTGAGTGTTTCATCGTCTGTTTGGTTCTTCTTCTTGCTTGTGTATATCTGCTCCCTTGTTTGTCGTGGTCTTTTTTTTTTT